GTTCTCTACATTTTTACAGAGATGAGCCTCTAAGAGCATTTTAAAACCTTCTATAAGCCCACATTTTGGTTATTTAAAAGATAGATCTAAATATTTTTAAGTGCTTTTTAAAAGAGGACAAGACAGAGCTCTTCCTCCCATGCTTTTTAATTTAACCCTTTAAACCTGTATGAAAAGTGGTGCTAAATGCTGCTGGATCTACATGGAAGGTTTTTTTTCCATACTGCTTTTCACCAGAGATAGTGACTTCCCAAAGCTCTGTAGTTAGTGGACTTATTCTGATATTCCTATCTTCTATACCAAATTTCAATCAAGAAACAAATGTTTTCATCTAATTAAATAAGGAAAAAGTAGTTGATTTTTACAATGATGCTTCTATTAAGCTTGATATGCCAATGGTTCTCTGAGCAGTCTCCAAAAGTGGCACGCCAGACAGTGTTTTCCAAACTGAAGGCTAATCAGGCTGGCAGGGATGGAGTAGGAGCTCTCAGAAGGAAAGACACCACTGATCACTCCTGTTTCTCCTCCCTGCAGGCTGTGATGGCTTCCAGCTCTCCGATTCAAGCCCAGATATTCACTGATCTTTGACACCCCAGGACTCTGTACTGCCAATGTGCCCCACATTGTACCCACCAGGCTGGGATTCCACCAACTCTTTCAGTGCTGCTGTGCCCTGACTTCATGCAGGTTATATTGATCTTAGGAAGCGATTTGAGCTGACAGGAGTGGGTTGTACTGTAAGTCATGGTGATGACCCTGGGTCCACATTAAATGCATTTTGGTGGGTGCTTATGAGTCTTACCCTGTCCTGGTCCTGTGCACTTAATGCCTCTTACAGTAGAGTAAGTGGAGGTGACTGTGAGACTCCTTTCAAAAGCTCACTCATAATCCAAACTAAAACATTACAGATAAATACACTGATACAGGCAGAAATATGATGAGGGAAAATAATGGCAAAACATCCTGGTGACTTCACTGGTCCCAGAATTTCACTGGAGTTTGTCATAAGAAGAAAACAAGTCCAGGGATGTAAGAGAGAGTGAAAGGAAGGACAGTGAAATTTATGAGAGGTAAATGGATAATAATAGCAAAATCCCAGAGGGAATTTCTCAGGGATTTAATTTTCAGTTGTTATTTTTTTGTTATAAAATAGATGTATAAGAGAAATTCAAATTGACAAACTAAAAAGCAGACTATTTGGAAAGTTAACTTCTCCATACTCTAGTGCTCAGCAAAAGCTCTAAAAGCAAATTGCATTTAGACAATGGATTTTATTAATACCATCTTTGTATAAGCTAATGTAATGATTAATGTTTTGCCTTACTTGCATGCTTCTTAGTCCCTTAGGAACCTCAGTGAGATACGCTGCCATAATTGTCTTCCCCTTTTCCTTTTTTCTTAAGCAAAAATGACCTCCTCCCTTCCCTGATTTCCAAATGTCCTCCAAAGCAAGAAAACATAGCAACTCATTGTCATCTGGTTGGGAGGAGAAAAGATATGCAATGGAAGCTACCCAGAGAGGTGTTTCCAGGGAAAAAAAACATGCCATGACATTTTGAATGAAACAAACCCACAAACTACAAGGACTACAACAAAACAGAGGGGGGAAAAGGAACAGGCATTTAAGCAAATGTGCATTAAAACACCTGAGCCCTTATGGTCTATTTAGAAACTTCTTGCCAAATGTAACATTTAATTTCCATACCAGTGTCAGCCCTAGATATTATCTCTTCCACTTGATGCCAAAAGTTATTATTAATTGCTGTCTGAATACTCATCTCTATACAGCGTGTGGAGAGTGATTAATGTAGTATTCAGGGACTTTCACTCAAGTCATGTAAATGCAAGCCAAGGTCTATTGCAGGGAACTTCTATAGCAGGCATGGGAGTGGATTTAGAGTTTATTTGCTGGAAAGATATTAGGCAATCATCCCTTCTTTTACTGTGCAAGATTGTGCTTGGGTCAGAACCTGACCTAAAATTACATGATTATTGTTATTCTGACTGCTTCCATAGTTTGATAGAAAATGAATTAAAAAATGTAATTTCCAATTGTACAATTTAAAGAAAGTGTCAATACTTCTCCCCTATTTCACTTGTTCTAGTTACTGCCTATTAATCTCTTCATAGTAAATTATAATTGCTCTTTCCAAATAATTTCCTTCATATCTCCTAATTTTTAAGGATGAGTTATATTGGCAAATAGATTCCAGCAAATTCTTTACTCTGAGCTGTTTCAAGTTCTACTTATGTTTTTATGATAGATTGTCATGCTTACATGCATAGTGAAATCTTCAAAGCCTGCTGTTTCTGAAAGAAAAAAACATTAAATGAACTCTCCAAAAAATAAAACAAAAAATTCCTTCCTATCCTGTGTCTCTGCTCTCACTTGACCTTTCTTCCTTAAGCTAAATTAAGATTTTTCTAACCAAGGAGAAGGAAAACAAGGATTTTATTTTTCTCCAGGTCTGAATGTGTTCTTTTCTACTCACATGTTGACTCCACTTCTTTGGAAATCTTTAAATACATCTTAATCTGAACAGGTACACTGATTAGAGTGCTCCTTCTCTTGTTTGCAATCAGCCCATGTTTTGTTCCCTGAACTTCAAAGAGTTGATTATATTGTATCCTGGCTCCTTCTGGGTCTGGGTTTTGATCTTACTGATAATACCATAACTAGGAAAAACTTGCTTGAAATCACTGTGTTCTGTCAACAAAAATAAGACCTGACTTGGATTTTATTAAGAGAGAACTATATTTGTTCTGTGCCTCGCACTTCAATTCTCCATCAGTTTACTGTCTGCCTCCACATCCTCATTACAGTGGGTCCATATGATGTACAGACTTCTCACAAGTTCTAAACCTTAGCTCTAAGTCTTATATTTCCCCCACTCCTAATTCCTGTTTCTGGTGCTCCTGCCTTGGGCTTAGTCTATCACCTCGCCATGCCTCTATAGGTTTTTCATTATCCCTTCTTCTCACTCATCCCTTCATCAGAGATCTGTGTCATGAGCTACTTAGCTGCTTCAGCTACTTGATGCACTAGAAATTACTCCAGATCCCATCCATCTCTTTCCTGTTCACTGCTGAGTCCTCTTGCTGTGACTAATTAGGACATTATCTGCTGTATGAAATAATGGCTTGCAATACCTTCTTCCCTGTGGGTCACAGCAGTGGACAAACAATCATAGAATCACAGCTTTTATCATTATATGATTTTGTGTTTGTGAATTTTGTGCCCATAAACACCATGTGACCAGATTATATCAAAGGACTTGGGTGTTTAAGCAAATTTATTTTCCTGACCTGCTTCATGGGCAGTTCCAACCTGCAGTGCAAATAGATCTCTGATGTGTTTCATGTGGCCTTAGCTTTGGCCGTTTGCTGAGATGGGAATTTTTTAGCCCTCTGGAGAAAAATGTTTCTTCTGTGAATCTTCACTGGTCGTGCAAGTAACAAAATGACCAGTTCCTAGGCAGAGTCTGCATGACACTTCTCTACTTCTCTTTTCCAAGAGCTCAGGTCTCAAAATTGTCCTCATTAAGTGGCTTACAACTACCATCACTTCATCACACAGCTCACCTGCTCGCCACCTTCTAACACACGTTAAGTTTTTTCTGACTGGTCACTGCAATTGCTGATGTGGAAAGGCCACACCAAGAACCATTAATATTTTTTGTTGCCTCTTTATGACATTTTGCAACTGAAAGTGAGAAGGAGCACCAGCATCATGACAATAACAAGCAAGAAGAGAGATGTGGGAAACCTTCAGAGAACTTCAGCACAGAGCACTGTGGGACAAAGGATATCTATTTATTTCCTCAAGATGCTTCTCTAAAGGAAAAGCAGTATGAGAAATAGTCCAGTATCTATTCAGACAGAAATAATTCAGATAAAATGGAGTAATACAATTTACCTCCATTTTTAAAAAAAAAAGTTAGCAGTGGAGATATTTTCTTAGCTCAGTGAAAGATTCAAATGCATCCACGTATATTGCTGGGTTAATGGCAAATCAGTTAATGTTGCTGATTTCGTGGGTCCCAGGATGTAACTTAGCCTCATCCTATGTCTGACAATACAATGGAGACTTTCAATTATCAAGCACAAGGAAAAGGTTTGTTTGAATAATAAGGAGTAGCATTAGGTCAACTCTGTAGAGTTTTTTAGAGCATTATCTTTATTTATTAATGGCATTCAAGTTAGGTGTTCAGAGGTCAACATTGTGGGACAGCAAACGTGTTTGGATCTGCATTCACCTGGATGTGCTGGAGAGGAAAGATAGCTCTGGAAGGACCTGTGGGGGAAACTGGTAGATCTGAGTTTTGAAGGTTTGCAAGTCCTCTGAATATTACCATGTACGACCTGAATGTTCAAAGCAAAGCAAAAAGTGCCATCATTTTTGATCAATGAGACTGTATTTACAACATTTGTGTTTTCCCCATTTTTTCTGGAAGGATGTCAGTAAGAAGTACTTGAAAAACTCTAGGGGAAGTACTAGACTTGATGGAGGAAATGAGTGTACTCCCAATGGCTTCATCTTGATGCTGAGATGGCATCTTCCCTAACATTAGTGGTCCAAAAGACTGCTGCCTGGTCCAGGTGATCTCCCCAGAACTGGCCTTACCTGTCTCTCTGCAGTGTGGACTGAAGGTCCCATGGAGCTGCAGCTCAGACTGGGCACCTAATGGTGGAATAGTAGGTGATGAGAGGAGTCCTGCTTTCACCAGCTGGGGCCAGATCTTCAAAACAAAGCTAATCCCTAAAGACCATCCCCTACCTTCCCCCACTTCCTTTCTTTTTTTTATTTTTTTTTTATTTTTTTTTTTAATTTTTTTTTTTGGTTAGCGGTAGACTTTTTTTCTACATTGTGATACTAGTATCGAAAATTCTGGCAAACAAATATGGTGAGGTTTTTTTGAAATGTCATGTGGGATTTTTGTAGCTGAGAAATATTGAAATGGGTGCTGTGTTAATGCCACATATATCAGTCCAAAACCCTCTCTCTTTCCTGATTGTTTAATTTGGAAAAGATGAGCATCTTTTCTTGTGTCTTCCCACTTTACTGAAGTTGTCATCGGTGCAGTATGGAGCCTGGACAGGAATCACAACTCTCCTGTTGCCTGGCAGGGTGGGAGTGGAAGCAGCCCACAGAGCTTAGGCTGCCTCAGTCACGGTAGCAGAACTCAGAGACGGATGGAGTGGTGAGAATGAAATTTGTGGTAGCATTTAACTTAGTATCTAGAATAAAAATTAAGAATATTGATGTAATTTGGGGGTGGTGGGCTGAAAGAGGCATCAGAGGATTTTGTGGGCACTCGGTGTGATTTAAGGGATCTATTGGTTTTAGGGATTTTGATCCTATTCCTCACCTTCCTTCTGCTCTAGAACAAGGTTCATGACCTCATGATCTGTCTCACAGCCCTGGAAGAAGAATCCCCAGTAACATCTTGGACAGCAAGGACAGCCCATTCCCATCTGCTCAGCATACGCAAAACAGGCAGTCTGAGGGCTGAACCAAATTTTTCATGAAAGGTGTCATGGGTTGAGATTGGCCCCCCTGAGAGCCGAGGGGCCCAGAGGTGATTTGGCGCCAGGGCAGTGTTCCCTGGAGGGCCAATCACCACTCCTCTTGTTCAATGCTGCTGAAAAATCACATATACACAGCCACCGGAAGCTTTTGGCAATTCTGTTGGTGTCTGCTGCGGCGTGTAGGTGTAGAAGGCCGAAGGGGTGGCAGGGCCTCCTCCTTCTTCCCCCTCTGAGGGGGGAGGGGAGGCTCTGCGGCCCACAGCAGGGTTAGAGGCAGCATTTGGAGTGAGTGTTTGTGAGGGACGCGACTCACAACACCTGAGGTAAGAGGGAGGAGGCCAGGCCCTCTTCCCCCCCTCTGCAGTTGGGCTGCGGGGCGCTTGGAACAGTGTATAACTGGACCGAGTTGCCTGTGGTCAAGGCTAGGGGGCTTTTTTCCCCTCTCACTGTTAAGTGGGAGTGGATGCAAGGCTTAGTATTGAAGCTGAGCCAAGAGACGGGCTGATAATGAAGCAACTCGGTGCCAGGGAGAAGAATCTCAGGTGAAATTGGAGATGGGCCAGAGAGAGAGGCTCGAGAGTTGCCCTGCCAAGGTTTGACTGGAGGCAGCTGAAAACTGACTTGGAAGACACTTGATAAGCTGACTACACTACAGCAGCAGCAAACTGAGGTATGAAACCGAAAGAGAGAACCACGCAACAGAGATGGCACAGAACCAAAGAGAAAGGACTCGGAGCTATCTTGGACTTCATGAAGAAGAAAAGACTGCAGCAAACAACTGGAAGTCAGTGGGGGAGTGTTTCGGTTTTCCGAAACACTCCCATGAGAGAGAGACTGCGTTACCTATCAGCCTGAAAAGACTTTTCCTGGACTAATTGAGGGAGGAGCTTTGAAGGGACTGATAGAAGTGTAATATATATATATATATATATATATATATATATAGTTGTTTTTAGTTTGTACAGTATATTTATTTGTGTAAATAAATGTAAATACTTCCTCTTTCCCCTATAGAAGCCTCTTGCCTGAAAGTTTTCTCTTTGGTGTTGGGATAAATTGTGGGAAGGGGTGGGGAAGCCTGGAAATTAGATTTTGGATTTCTAATGTGGCTCAAACTGCCACATTGTCTCCCAGTACTTTTCTGTGAATATATGGTCTGTAGCAAAGAACTGGAAAGGAGAATAGTTAGCTGCAAAAATGCAATACTAGTTCTGGTTTAATGGGCTATTTCTGCTCAGATTACATGTGTACATTTCCAAGTGTGGGACTTCAGCTCACCTGACACCTGGCAGGTGAAGGTTTGATCAGGAGACCTGGTAGGGCTTTCAGCCGCTGCCCAGGGAGTGATCTATGGTGTGGCACACAAACAACTAGCACAGCTGAGTAGACAGCTCTGCATGTCCATGCTCACCTTGTCCCTCGGCCACTCCTGCACTCTGGGCATTGCTGCCTGTTCAGACACCACTGTAAATCTGGCTGCTACCTTTGCTCATCCTTAGCAGACACTCTCCTCACGAACAGGTTGTACTGTCTCTGGTTTCTTGGCCAAATTACAACACAAAGCAACACCTTGGTGCTTTCAAAAAAATAAGTTTTCCTCCCTTCCATCTCAAAATTTTTTGTATAGACTTTTTCATACTGGTAGCTCTTTCCTGAGGTGTCTGAGTTTCAGTAGTAGATGAACAAAGTACTTCTGCAACAGGAGATCAGGTGGTATCAGCCAAATCAGCTCTGCTTGTTATAATGGAGCTTTTCTTGCACCAGTGGATGATCTCACCCATGTTACCTAAAAGCACCTGGGACAGAGGTGATGAAAACACAGTATTAGCTCATGCTCGCTGGCTCTTGGGAAGATCACCAGAGCCATCAGGATAATTTTATCAACAGCAAGCCTCCCAGCAAGTCTTTGCCTTATGGCACAAGTTGGTCAGGACAGCCTCCAGCTGCAGCTCTGGTATCAGTCCTGGGCCAATGGAGTGGGCTGCTGGAGTATGACAGAGCTGCCTGAGCAGGTTTGCTTAGATTGAAAGGTAATTATCGCTGCTGCTCTGAACTGTCCCTGAGCATACAGCCAAAATGGTTATTTGTGTTGTAATAGTGCCTTCAGGTTCACAAAGCTGCTAAGGGCTTCACTCTGTTATGTTCTCTTCATACAGCTACTAGGAGACCATCACTGGCCCACGAGCTGCCAGAATAAAGACAAATGGGTCGTTCTGAGAGCTGTGCAGTTAATGAAGCCTAGATCCATACAGATTTGAAACCTATACATCTACCTTTTTCCAAAATGCTCCCTCCCCTCCCCAAATCCTCACTGTCCCTCCTCTTACTGCTAAAGAAACACTAATTTCTCTCTACAGTGATTTTTTCTCTCTTCCTCGGCCCCAGCCACTGGTCAGGTCAGGGGCAGAGCCTACCCCTGTTGTGCCGGGGGTGGAGGCAGCATGTACCCTGGCTGTTTCAGAGCTACACGTGTGGTTTGAGCAAGAAGCATGCACTTGCTGACTGCTCAGCTAAAGGCTGTACTGAGAAGGCAGCTTCAAAGCTGCCTCTGGTGGGGCCACTGGGTTGGGTTTCTTTCCTTAATATCACAGAAATATGATAAAAGAAGCACTTCTGCCAGGGAGGATGGCATTTGATGGCTTTAAAAATGATCATGTTCAGTATAGGTAGACACCTATTAAAGCCATTTAAGACTTCCACATAGTTTTTGTGGAAAACAATCCCTCTCTGCCTCTGACTTGATTTTCAAGTGTTCCAGGACTGTAAAAGGAATTCTTTACTGTTCTTTAGAGAAACTCTTTTTTGGGAAATGGAGCTCTACATTCCCACTATTTTGTGAGAAACAGAGTAGCAAAATATGTACAATTAGTATGTGTAACAATATCCCTTCCAAGTACATTTATCACCATATATCTAATCACTTTCTCTGCTACAGCTGCAGATGTATTGTAGTCTCTTAAAAATGTAAATTAAATTACCCACTGATGAATCTGTTACACAGATTTAGCATATTGATGAAGAGAATCTCAGGTGCATCACAGATTATAGCATACATCTGGTCCATTGCCAAGTTTCAGTCAAGAAAGGCTCTGTGGTTGGATCTCTTTGGTGATCATGAGCACAAGCTCCATCTCAATGGCTTTGCCTGCATTCAGCTGGGTTGAAGTCTAAGGATCAAACATTGTGCCCAGCCCCAACAGGGACACCCGAGATCTACACACATAGTCTAATGCAGAAGGGTGAGTTTAAGAGACATTTGTCTTTAACTTCTCATCCTGGGTTGTCAGCATGCCACCAGACTTCCCTACCCAGCTGGACTGGTCAGCAGTTTCTGGCCCCCCCTTTTTTTTTTCAGTAGAGTTATAGAAATCAATTCAAATAAGAAAAGGAAGAGAGCTAACAAAACAATGAAGAGACATGGGTGACAGTTAGGGGGTGGAAGTGAAAGTGTAGGTGTGAATGCTAGAATGAGAAAAAGGTTGCCTCTTGAAAACAGGAAAGAGCTGGTAAATAACCCTGAGTAAGGCCATGAGTACAGGAAAGAGTAGAGATGGATAGCACAATCAAATGCAGAAAAAAAAAGCAAATGAAGAATGAATATGAAGAGTAAGAAAAGAATTACAGAATCACAGAATATGCTGAGCTGGAAGGGACAAAACTGAGTTTGAATAAGTTAATTTTATTTATACTCTTTTAAATATAAAGAATTTTCTTCCTGAAGGCATCCTACATCATAGTTAAATAATAAAAAACAAACAAACAAAACAATAAACAAAATCTGTCAGTCAGATAAGGATGACAACTTGCCCTGCTTGTCTCCAGTCCTCGGGATAACCACATGAAAGTGACTTTAAGCAGGGAAATCCTGCTGCAGAAATCCACTTCTGCCAAAACTCCTGCGGGTGCGATGGATAGATCGCAGCATGGATAAGCAACTCTCTGGAAGCTGACCATGTATCTCACTTCATGTTACACTACTTGCTTCTTTTTTCAAGTAGGCTTATAAAAATGATTCAGAGGAAGATGGGGGAGAGATATACCCAAGAAATCAATCCTTTAATATAAAGCAGTGGCTTGTGGTTGGGTGTGTTTGTATCAGCTCCCTGGGCTTTCAGAGGGCTCCCTCCTCCCCCTGCTCCAACCCACTTTTTCTGCTGCTCTTCCCTTGAATGAGTGTTAAACTACTGCTGCAGACTTTTTAAAAGACCGATATGGAACATCCTGCTTCTGTCACTGTTGCCTAGTTTATGCTTTCCCTAAGACCCTTTGAATTAGCCAGAGCAGGGCCAGCTGGGACTTATTGGCAACTACTCTGAGGGAAGGATTGATTGCTTCCCCAGTCTGCCGTCACTCCAAATCAAGCTGGCCAGAGGGAAGAGAGGCTGTTTTCTCATCAGGTAACTGTGTTTGACTGAAGATAAGCAGGAACAATCAAAACTAAGCTATAGTTTTTCTCTTTCTTGAAAGGAAAGTAGCCTTGCCTACCATCTTTTGGTAATTGCAGGACTTCTACTCCACAAAATTATCTCCATAAGGACCTGCTCCAGAGACACTGTGAAGACCTACAGATCATGCAAAACCAGGAAATAATGGCAGGGAAGAGGGAAACAAATGGCACCATCTTTCTGCTGGAAGAATGAAGAGAATGGGAAAAATTTTGCAACTCTTGGTAAGATGGTATGGGAAAGATGAAAACTAAATACCATCCATAAAAATAAGCAAGACAAGCACAGAAGCATAAATTAATGAGTCTGATCTTGCCAAGAGCCTTGCATTTATTGTGTTCAGCTTTAGAAAACCTGCAGGGAGTCTGTAATAGTAGGATAAGCCAATCCAGAAAGCATACAGCATCTCTCTTGATACCAGCAGATCTGCTCTGAGGGACGTTCCAGGTTTTCCTATGGTAACAGCTGATGGTCATGGCAATCCAGCTAGATTTTTGTTTGGTCTGGTGGTAGTGTGTTAAAACCCCTGACTATGGCAGGGGATCTCTTCTGTTCCCCTGTCAGCAAGCTGCTGGTCTTCTCCCAGTTAAGGAGCCTGCACTTCAGGGTGTGGTCAACCTTACCATGTATTAAATAGTACATCTCCCAGGAATT